AGACACAACACCACAACATTAACACTCTGTTCTTGTCCTTACGACCACAATCCCAACGCTCACATATTCGATCTCCACCATAACAACGAAACCAACATCGATCTTCTTCGTTTCTCTTCCGCTTGGAACCATCTTACTTTCTCGTCTAAACCGAACAAGATTTTAAAGATCGCTGTGGTGGTTAAGAAATGGCCGCAGAAATCGCAAGCTGGTGGGCTCGAGCGACATGCGCTTACGCTGCACCTCGCTCTAGCTAATCGTGGCCATGAGGTTCATGTTTTCACCGCTGCTTCTCCTTCCTTCCCTGAATATGGAGTGAAAACTCTTCGGTTTCATCTCTCTGAGCCAACCTCTGGTGGGTATCTTGATCAAGCTTTCGTCTCGCAACAACTTCAGGTAAAACAGAGAATTTGAAATGTTGCTGCGATTGCTATCGTGTCGCTGGTTTGGACGCCGCTAATATTAGCGTTTTCTCCAGGTTGCGTTTAAGTGCAAATGCTGACGTTTTTTGTTTATATTCATAAACGCAGACGCAGAACGCGAGTGGAAGACCATTTGATGTGGTTCACTCAGAGAGCGTAGGGCTTCTCCACACAAGGGCCAAGAACCTCCGAAACGTAGTCGCTTCTTGGCACGGAATAGCTTACGAGACTTTTCACTCCGACATCATTCAAGAACTCCTCCGTCAAGCCGACATCTCCGCCGCCGGAGCCGAAGAAGAAAAGCCACCGCCTTCCTCTCCGGCTCTGACGGAGCGAGCGAAGAAAGTCGTCGAAGAAGTCAAATTCTTCCAACGCTATGCTCACCACGTGGCAACTAGCGATCACTGCGGCGACGTACTCAAAAGAATCTACATGATTCCCGAGGAACGCGTCCACATCATCTTAAACGGCGTCGACCAGAGCGTTTTCAAACCGGACGTTTCTAAACGCGAGAGTTTCAGAGAGAAATTCGGCGTTAGAAGCGGCAAGAATAGAAAACCTCCTCTGGTTCTTGGGATCGCTGGGAGGTTAGTGAAAGATAAAGGTCATCCTTTGATGTTCTCTGCTTTGAAACGAGTGTTCGAAGAAAACAAGAAAGCACGAGAAAACGTCGTTGTTTTAGTAGCTGGAGATGGTCCATGGGGTAACAGATATAGAGACCTCGGCTCGAATAACGTGATCGTTCTTGGACCATTGGATCAAGAAAAGTTACCGGGATTCTACAACGCGATAGATGTATTTGTAAACCCGACGCTTCGAGCTCAAGGGCTCGATCATACTCTATTGGAAGCCATGGTTTCAGGCAAACCGGTCTTAGCCACGAGGCTAGCCAGCATCACTGGATCCGTGGTCGTTGGTCCACATTTGGGATACACTTTCTCACCAAACATTGAGTCTCTCACGGAGGCGATTTTACGGGTTGTTAGCGGCGGAACAGAGGAATTGAAGAGGAAAGGTAAGGAGGCGCGTGAGCGGTCGTTGAGGCTTTTCACGGCGTCTAAAATGGCTGATGCGTATGAAAGGTTGTTTCTTTGCATTTCGGATAAGAGATTTTGTACAATACAAGCTTAAACATTTGAGATATAATACTAATAGAGTTAATTTTACTTAAGGGTTTAACATATTCATGACATGAGACAGAGAAAAAGCAGAGTAAACATTGATACAAATGATTAGAACAAGTATTAGACAGATATATTGAAGACTAGTTTACTAGGAGATCTCTTCGATATTATCTTTTAATCTATTTGAAATCTCCTAATAACATGCATAAACTTATTTATACAAAGTCTTGGTTCAGTAGATATTAGTACTTGGCTTGAGCTTCATGGTTTTCCTGAAGAGATTTACAAAGAAAACTAAAGGAAGTGTGTTTTCTTCCTAGTAATAAAGAGAACCTTGCCACCAATTTCCTCTTGAAACATCCTGCGAGTTGTGTCCATTAGAATCGTCTTCTCCGCTTCTTCGACGCTCGTTTTTAACCTGAAAAAACAATGCTTTTAGCCAAGTTCTCTGGTGTTTGTTCGTTTTTCTGAATGCGCTTAGCTATATACAAAATCAGGACTCACTTGAGGGTAAGTTTGGTTTGTGGTTGGTCGAGAGTATACGTCTTGACCACCGTAGTAAAGTGAAGAGCTAAGATGACATGGCTCAACTCTGTCTTCTTGCGCAGTTAAAGATTCTCTACGTTGAGCTGTGTTAAAGAAAAAAAAAACAGAGGATTAAAAAACAGAGCGATTCTTGATTCAAGAAAAGTAGAGTGTTTTGAAACTTAGTGAGCAAAGAAGAAGAAACTCTCACTGACCTTGTGAGACATGTTTGGAGTTTTGACCATCTTTTGCAACACCCTGAGAAATCAAATAAAGAAACCGAAGATTAAGCCTCAAGAAATCAATCAAGAAACAAAAAAGTTTGCTAAAAAAGGAAGGTAATAGAACCTTGGAAGGATGAGGGAAAATGGAAGAAAAGATTCCGGAGGAAGAAGATGGCGGCAAAGGATCTTTGGAGCCGAAGAGTTCGGCGGTGAAAGAAGAAGAAGTTGATGATCCAACTCGTCCCTTACTATCCATTAATAACTGCTAAAGCTTATACTCTTATCACTTAGAAACAGATTCTTTCTGATTCTTTGTAGAAGAGGATATTTGTGTAAGGTGTGTAGTAATTACAAGAAGATCTCAATGGGGCTATATATACATAATGCTATAAGGGATAATGAGGTTATGGAGATAGTGGAGC